GTGTGTGTGTGTGTGTGTGTGTGTGTGTGTGTGTGTGTGTGTGTGTGTGTGTAAAAAAATGTAGTTTTTAAAGTCATGAATTATAATCGTTTTGAAAAATGACTGAAAAATTATCTAGATATTCTCATTTTTTGTTATTGAAAATATTTTGTTATTTTTTTATATTTTATAAGTTATTTGGTTAAAAAATATTTTTTGTAATACCAACCGCGAAACTTTGATTTTCGAGCTATAGTTAGGAGGGGTAAAATGAATGATATCTGGCCAGCTATAGTTGCGTCTACTTTTCTCGCACACTCTCTCTCTCTCTCTCTCTCTCTCTCTCTCTCTCTCTCTCTCTCTCTCTCTCTCTCTCTCTCTCTCTCTCTCTCTCTCTCTCTCTATCTGTTTCTACATTCCCGCACGGATGCTAAAAATTACTATAGGATATTTAGTTTCGTTTACTTCTACAATCGTCCGCCAAGGAACCTTGATACCCAAGTTGGTCGCAACTTTCTGTCAATTTACTGCCGTAACTTGTCACCAAGTTGGCAGCAAATCTTGGAAATGCACTCGGTTGGTGTCAATTTGTTCACTAAGTTGTCAGCAAAAACTGCTTCTGAAACTTTTTCACATCAAGTTGACGACAAGTTTCTCAAAAAATTTGGCGACATATTGCGGCAGTAGATTGGTTTTCTTTTTCTCAGAAACTTGTAGCCAACTTGATGCCAACAGTAACAAATTCGGAATTTGACCGCAAGTTGTCGCTAAGTTGGTGGCAACTATCTAACAGACTTTGTTGGTCTGAAACTCTGGCTATCAGGGAAAGTATAAATCAAAAAAAAAAAAATCTTGGCGACAAGTCGATTCTTGTCAACAAGATTTTTATATCCGCTTAAAAATATTGCTTTAAATCGTTACGAGTCCAATTTTAAGCGCTTAGATACGAAATTAGCGGGAAGTTGCAGGGATGGCCTTTAGGGTCAACTGTTTTCCTAATTTTTATTTCTAAGTTTTAATTTTGAATCGAAAAGTTTAGAATTGTCCTTGATAAGTATTTTACCCACGAAAATAAGAATGAGAAAAAACGTCATACACGTTTTTTATAAAATTTCTATCAACCTTAAATAGAAGATCAAGTTAGAAATCTCATTGAACAGTAGAATATATTTGTCTTTGAATACAGAACGTTTGTTCCTATTCCAGATCAGTAGATTGATTGCAACTGACAGGCGTGTTCAGTACAGGCTTGATGTGAGCGTTTCTACATAGTACACACCTCCGGGCACTGTTAACGAGACGCGTCCTGTATAAATTTTAGATGCAAATCGGCGGAGGGTGACGTTTCTTATGAGATCGCATTGGTGAACACTACTCATTCTTTGGTGAGATCTTGTGTTATGCCAACGAAATTTCCAAGAATATTGACTTTTATTTAAAGATGGCAGCGATGAAGAAAGACGCTGACAGCTGAAATAGACGTAGATTTTTCGAAAATATTAGTAAAATCTTTGAAATAACTGCAGTAGCCAAATTTCATTAAAAATATGGAAAAATTATACCCTACACGCAAAAAAAAAAAAAAATCGGGGCTGCCACATGATTTTCATGTGACTGCCACATGATTTTCCTGTGGCAGCCACATGATTTTTTCATGTGGAAGTCACATGAAAATCATGTGGCAGCCACATGATTTTTTCCATATAGCTGCCACATGATTTTCCTGTGACAGCAGCATGACTTTCATGAGGCAGGCAATAATATTTAAAACAGCAATAATAATTATCATAATAATAATAATAATCTATATTATTAAGAGAATAAGAAAAATTTTGTGGCCAGTGCATTTATATGATAAAATGGGTTTTTATGGTTGAGTTTGGTATCATTAGAAAGGTCTTGACCTGGAGTTGTGCCTTTTCAAGGTTTCATATCATTCTCACCAATAGTCAATAGTGTTTATTATGATAGGAATTAAGGCTGCATTCGAAAATGCTCTATCTCTAGATACATAATCAAAAAATTACCTCGTATCCGGTGAACTATTGCCATTTTTAAAGATACAAGCTCACTCAGATATTCCACTTATCGAGACCTTTCCTTTGAACTTTTCATATATTTATATATATTATATAAATGTATAT